AAAGGCAGCAGCTCTGAGGGGCGTGACCCCAGAGGAGGAAGGGGCCATGGGGGTAGCTGATTTGGAAGATGTTGGTAGGGGAGTTGGATATCCTAGAGGGGCAGAGAAGGACATAGCTGCTGTGGGAGAGGAAACAGTGACTGAGGAGGAAACTGAGGCACTGAATGAAACTGTGAAGGAAACCGCATCCCAGAGGGAGGTAGTGACACCCCTAGCTGTAGCTGACGCCAAGATGGTTTTTGAGCAATTGGAAGAAACCACAAATGGAGGAGAAAAGATAGAGGAACAGGAGTGTATCACCAAGGAAGGAGAAGGAGGGCAGGGAATGGAACCTGTTGACGGGGCGGTGTTTCACAGAGAAAGTGCCGAAAATGAGAGAAACCTGTCCCTAATGGAAGCAGCTTCTGAAGTCATAGAGAGGTCAGGGAAAGAAGGAATCCCAGGGATGGGGGAAGAAGTGGAAGGAGAAGACGGAGAAACCAGATATGGAGCCACAAGGGAGGTGACTTGCAGGGCAAAAGAAGAAAACAAAGTGGAAAAACAAGAGATGGGATTACCAGGGGAGGTCGGGAGGTCACCCAACGATAGAGAGGGAATGCCAGACGTCAAACTGGTGAGGAAGGAGTGGACACCTAAGGAGGGGACCGCAGCAAAGGAGCCATCGGTCACTGAAAGGGTGGAGACCCCAGGGGAAATGGGAGAAATAAGGGCTAAGGAGAGAGAAGAACCAGGAGTCCTAGTAAAGCCCCACGGGGCTGTCTTTGAAGAGCCAGGCAGTGGGGGACGGGTGTGTGAAGAAGAAGCTCCAGCACCAAGGACAGGGACAGGGACAGAGACAGGGACGTCTCTGGTGAAAGAAGCCCCCAAGAACAAAACGCAGCGTGGGAAAACCATTCTGGAAAAGCAAGCTGAGGGAGACATGGGGGACGCAGGAGGGAGGGCAGCAACAGCATTGAAGAGGGAGGCGTTGGCAGATGAGGCAGCAGCTGAGGGCAAAGCAGAAGAAAATAAAGCCTCCTCTCCTTCAGATGTTGCTGTGGGGGAGACTTGGCCCAGGCAGGACCAGCTTCTAAAGAAAACAGCAGCTGCAGGCAGAGTGGCAGTGGAGGAGGAGGGAAAGGGAGAAAGAGTCCCAGCCGTGGAGGAGGTGATAGGGAAAGCAGCCCCAGAGGCAGACCCAGCCACCAGGGAAGGGGTTCTCGAGACGAGTCTCATGATCCAGGCATCGAAATGGGAGAGAGATCAGGGAGGGGGCATAGTGAGAGAACACTGGATGAGGGAGAAGAGCCAGGCTGAGGAAGCAGGGGATGAGGAGAAATCCAGACCAGCATCGCCAGAGCCCGGGGGAGAAGTGCGACACCGAGAGGGAGGGCCCCAGAGCCAGAGTCCCCAGGCCTTAGAAACCATGACTGTGGAAAACGAGATGACTGAAATCGGAGAGAGGCAAGAAAGCGCAGCACAGAAGAAAGATGATGCCCTAGGAGCTGAAGTCCCGAGGCCCTAAGGTGAGTATACCCCAGAGCCCCGAATAGCAGCTCAGAGTGACAGGGACCCAGCTCATGCCTTCCTTGGCCTGCCCAACACACAGGCCTGCTCTGCTGAGTAGACTGTGTCCAACCCCAATGCAATTCAGTGGATTCAGCAGTAAGCGTGCATGAAACTCCTTCTACGCAAGGGGCTAGGAAGGCAATTAACAAACACGTATTTATTAAATACCTAATATATGTGAGGAATTGTACTAAGAGCTGAGGACCCAAAGACGAACGGAAACAGTCCTGCCCTGTAGAAAATAAAGATGGCAGTTCCTGACCTCAAGGAAGTTCCATTCTCCAGGGGATAAGGGATAGGGCATGTACACATATAAGCACAGCACAAGGTAGAGAGGGTGATGGCAGAAAAGGAGGGAACCAGACAAAGGGTTCTAGAAAAATAGAGGGGGGAGGGTTCACTGCCACTCAAGAAGGGAGGTGTGGTCAGGGAGCTGGAGAGGGCATGTAGCCAGGGTTTAGTCACAGCTGCTGACATCTGGTGGGAGAAACACTTCCTCCCTCTCTACTTTGCTTCTCAACTAAATGTGCCCCTGCCCAGGGTGCTAGACTTGATAGCTTCAGAGGGATGGCTTTGAGTGGGACAACTGTGTGGTTGGGGAATGGGGGATGAAGCAGGGTACTCCATGCCCTCACTGAGTATTGTATTTGTTTTCAGATTTTCTGATTTCTCCCTTCTGAATCAGGAGCACAGGTCCTCACTGTAAACAGCTCATACTACTTTCCCCTTAGCCAGGGGTACAAAGTCAGAATAAAAAGATTAATGTGGGGAAGGGGGGAAAAAGTGACCTTCTCCCCTTTACCCCCATAATTGGAGAAAAATGAGTTGAGTATTCCAGTATTCATTCTCTCTCTCTCTCTCTCTCTGTGTGTGTGTGTCTCTGTCTCTGTCTCTCTGACTCTGTGTCTCTCTCTCTCTCTCTCTGTCTCTCTCTCTCTCTCTGTCTCTCCTTTCCTCCCCTCCCCCTTCTCTTTCCTTCTCTCTTTCTTTCTTTTTTGAACAGGATGACATGAAATTTCATCCTGCTTATTTCTATTAAGTATTTTCTGTGCCTTCACCTTAGAATTTCAGTAAAGTTTGTATTTGTTAATAAATATGGAACAAACAGCAATCTCCAAAGTGTGTCCTACCTATGATGCATTCATCTGACACCCTCGCAGTGATGAGTGAGGGTTCTGCTTAGCTCTGCTGAATTATCCTGCTGGTAACATTGCCTGCTTTTTTCTTATTTTTCAGATGGCTTTAAATATGTCTTCTGGAAAAAGCAAGACTCAGAAGAGCAAGTCTCTAATCATTGTTCTATCCAGAGCTTTATAGCACTAAGTGTTTTTTTCTCCCTCTGAGTATTACACACACACACACACACATGCACAAGCACGCACAGAGCTGTAGATTTGTGCGTGATCAAGATGCTGATCTATTCATTTTTGCTGATGCCTGACAAGACAACCTTTTCTGTTTAATCCAGAGGAACTACAGGACATGCAACTGAATGGACTTGCAAGAAGATAACTTAGAAGAAATGCTCTCTAATGGGGTCAGTCTGTAGATGTTTCCCATAACTGACATCCATCAATTTTCTAAGTGAAATCATATTTTAAAATTAGTCCCTTTTATCCTAAGACTATCCTATAGTTTTATGCAAAATCACCCTATAGTTTTATGAGTTTATGCAAATTTATTTTTTGTTTTAAATTACTTTTCATTTTTCTGAGTTACTTGCTTGGGGATTACCTAAGTCAAACTTGTGACTTGTGCTAATGACTTGGCTTCTTGGTCCATGAAAATCATGTCCAATAGTCTCCCATGTCTGTTCATCAAGCAAAGTCCAGAGCTGACCTATAGGATGCAATCCCTCGGAATTGTCCTGACAAGATGGATTTGGTGGATAAAATGTCTTTGATTATAGTCTAGAAAGATCCTTTCCTTCCGATAATGCCAAGTGCTTCCCTCTAAGTGGGAAGGGTTATGTTGAAATGCTTCCTGAGAGAGAGAGTATTTTTATTATCCTTCCTTCCCCAGACAGCCAGCTAAGCTCACAGCTTACAGCTTAAGGGTCCTCATTCCTGGGAAACCAACATTGAATCAAAGGAGTGTCTCTTTTAGTCTTAGTGAAGAGAACAGGATAACCCTGGGAGTCAAACTGGGAGAGCCCGGACCCAGGTGCATCAAGGCCCTGGTGAAGTCTGTGTTGATGCCACAAGGAATGGTCAGGAGAGATGGCTTGGCCCACTGTTCCCCACTTCTATGGGGGGTGTTATGCCAAGACTGCGTCAGGAAATAGCAGCATTAGATTTCTGAATCACCACTGGGAGCACTTCCCAGATAAGCATAGGTGTGCCTCCCTCTATGGAAAGGGGCTAATGAATCCCCTTGGGATTCCTCTGGCCACAGAGCACTGCCCTTGGGGGCCACTGGCCTGGGCCACCTTTTCCTCTTATAGAAGTGGTTTGGTAGGTTGGATAAAGCACTAGTTCTTAGAGCCTGAGTTCAAATCCCACTTCTGATGCCTATTCTCTATGTGACCGTGGGTGAGTGACTCTGTCCCCTAGTCTCAGTTTCCTCATGTGTAAAACAAGGGTGGGGGGTGGACAAAGTGGGCTTTGAGGTCCTTTCTGGATCTGTGAACCTCTGGGTAAAAAGGCTGATAAATTCTGTAGAGAAATGATCACAAATAAGTCTAGAAGGTGCTGAGCTCATTCCTCAGTAGAGGAAATCCCCTCACTGGGAGTTCCCAATGCCTGCAAAGTCATGTATCTGGTCCAACACCAAACCATCTTTCCCCCAGGTTCCATCCCCACCAAAGCCATTTGCTCCCCCAAAACAGGCAGAGAACCCCACCACTGCCTCAAACATGTGCTAGCTGGGCCTTCTGAGGCCCTGGGGACCAGGATTCTTATTTTGGTTGGCTCTTTGGTGCTTGGTAAAGGAGAATTCTCTAAGGAACATGATCTTTGATCATTCACTGCAGAAGAAGGATTTTGGGGGGGGCAAGGAGGATATGGTATTTGTGGTAAGGAAAATAGGTCAGAGGGGTGAGGTTGGGCCTTTGAGGGAGGGGTGGGATCTCCAGTAGGCTGGGATGATGGCATTCTAGGAGGGCTGGTGGTATTTTCCTCCCCTGCCTTGCCTTCTCCCCCAGCCCTAAGTTAATAACCATAATGAGCTGGCTTGGGAGATGGGAATGCTATGCTCTAATAGGCTTCTTCCACAGCCTGTAGGCAGGCACCAGGTGTCAGGGGGCATGATTTCATCCTCAAAGTATGACATGCCATGTCTTAATGAGCCCTCACATCAGGATTCTTTGGTCTTTGCTCTCTCTGTCTTCGCCCTTTGGAATGACAATGCTTTCACAGAATGTGGAAGAATGTGTAAGCTCCTCTCCTGCACTGAACAATGATTTCTGTATGACAGATGGAAAGGAAACAATGATTTATACAAAGGACTCACGGCATCAAAGTCCCCTGGGATGTTCCTATTCATGGCACACCTGGATGTCTCTGGAATTTCATGTTCTTGGGCTGGGTCTTCCATGTGGGCAATATGTCAGTGAAAGCATGAGTATCACCACCCATCTGCTCCTCTTCTTCAGTGTTCATCATTCTTAAAAGGACCAATAAATAAGATGCTGAAAGGGCGGGTTCATGGATGACCTGGCCTAGTTAAGGTGACTCCTCAATACTTGCCAGGGTGGAACATCTGCCAGTAGGAGAGATCACAACCCGTTTTCTCTTTCCGATGTTGTACCACTCTCATCCTTGCCCACCCCCCTAATTCCCTCCCTCCCTTCCTCCTTTAAGGGGCCACTGGACAGGCTGGAGACTTCCTTTTAGATCCATTGATCAAGCAGCAAGAAATAAACATTTATTGTGTCCACTGTGTGCCCATCAATGAATAAGCTTTTGTTTATCACTTACTATGTACTAGATATTGGGCTAAGCACTGAGAATACAAAGAAAGGCAAAAATCATGTCTGCTTTCTAAGTGTTTCTGTCCAAATGGGGGAGGGCGGGCTAACATGTAAATAACTAGACACATCTATATGAGGAGATGGAAGGTGACCTTCAGCAGAAGGCCCTACTAACAGATGGGAGAACCAGGCAAGGCCTCCTGCAGAAAGTGGCCTCAAAGCTAAATCTTATAGGAATCTGGTAACCCAGAAGGCAAAGATGAGGCAGGGGAACATTCTACGTGAAGGGGAAGGTCAGTGCAAAGACAAAGAGAAGAAGAGCGGAGTGTTATTTATGAAAAATGGCAGGTAGACCAGTATGGCTGCATGCTAGAGTTGGGAAGTGGATGGGGATGATGGGGAACAGGAAGGGGCCAGGCTGCAAAGAGCTGCCAAGGCTAAACAAAGGACACGAGACTGGATCCTGGAGGCTAGAGGGAGCTGTTACCATTTACTGAGTGTGTGTGTGTATATGTATGTGTGTATATGTTTGTATGTGTGTGCATGTGTATATGTTTGGATCTATGTGTAGATATATATGAATTTATGCATCTGGGAGGCTGTGTGTGTCTATGCATGTGTGTCCACATGTATTTATAGATGTATATGTGTATGTGCAAGTGTGTGCATGTGTTTGGGAACATGATATCGGTTGCATCAAGCCTTGGAACATTGCAAGACTCCTGGAAGAGATCACTAACCATTCCAAAGAGTCTTTGTCCTAGGAATTGAAATGGATGAAATGAAGTGGATGAAAATACCTATTGTTCAGATCATGACATTCAGTTAGAAGGTCAAAATATAGCTCTCATCTCCTAGATAGAGCTCTGTCTCATACACACACACACACATATAGATGGATAGATAGATAGATAGATAGATATACATGCTGATAGATGAGTTTTATAGTTTTATTAACGTGTATATATCTATATCAACTGTCTCAGTGTGTATGTGTACACACACATATAGCTATCATCTATTACCTATCTAAGACCATAAAGTGAACAAGTTGGTCCTAGAATTAATTATGCAGGAGGAGGAGAGTAGATCGGGTTATCTTTGGCAAACTGCATTCAGTGGAGAGGCACATGGTGGATGTAAACACCAATAGTTAATCAATAAACAAAGAAAGAACCACAAAGAAGGACAAGGGTAAAGGTATTGTTTTGAAATGCATATTGAAGAAGATGAACTAGTTATGTGACAAGAATGAGAGATAACCATTCACTCTCCCATGTGTTCCCCTGATGTCCTAACAATGTCAGGAGAAAGCAAATAAGGGAGCCAGAATGTTGGGTGGACAGTCTCTGGCAGAATGATGGCAGAATATGGATGAGCGCCACACAGATTGGTTAGGTAGCAGCCTGCCTTCTGGGAGAGAACATCTGCATGAGAGTTCTCAGGTGCTAGGTGATGGAAACAGGATTTGAATCCATGCCTCTGATTCCAACTATAGTATAAAATAGGGCTTTAGAGATTGTCTTGTTGAACATTTTACATGTGAGGATACTGAACCTAACAGAAGGCATCTGCCTTGGCCTGAGTCACAAAGCAAGTCAGGGGCAGAACCCATCCTTGAACTCAGGCCCTCCAGACTCTGAGGCCAAGTAGTATTGCCACCACACCATCTTCCCTCCATTTGTTGTTAAGCACTATTTTTTAGAAGGACCTGGCTTTCCAATCAGGTGAATAATTTGTGTGCCAAGCCTTGATAAGGACTTAGTTCAGTGGGTTGAAGACAGATAATATTATGTATTTAATCCCACTCTGATCCAACAGATGCAGTGGGTCTCTAACAGAGGAACTAGATCACTTCCTGCATTTGCAAGTTTAGTTTCAGATTTCCAATTTCATACAAGGAAAGGAAATTTCATACAAACTCTGGGTTGTCACTATTATGAGTATCCCTTATGGAAGGATGGTGGGGGTCCCCGCTGGACTTGATTTCACTAAAGATGCTGAAGTTTATAGCCATGGTGGGAAAGAGAGGAGAAAATGCTCCTCCTCTTCCTTCATGGCTTTTGGCTGGTCTCTAATCAATTGGAAGGGGCTGGAGGGATTGTGTGCCCAGGAGGGATCTGAAGGTTTGTGATCTTCTCCCAGCTCCCTCCTCCTTTATCTCCCCAGTCCAGGGCTCTCCAGTGAGGTGTGATGGAGCTCCTGCCTGCTTATGTACCTGGACAGACAGAAATGGCTTCACTTTAGCCAGGACAGGTGGTATAACAGATAAAGAGCTGACTTCAGAGCTAGGAAGACGTGGGTTCAAATCCTGCATTTAACACATACTGGCTGTGGAACCTTAGCCAAGTCTTTTAACCACCACTGCATCCACTGTAGCATGCTTCCTTTCAAGGGGAGAGCGAGAGCAATTTCTTAATAGACACTGTTCCCAACATCTTTTGGGTGTCTTGGACCCTTTGTGGGGGTAGGTCTGGTGCAGTGTACCATTCCTTTCTTTTTCAGGAAACTCCCTGATCCCATCCATCCCACACCATAAAATGAATCCCCACTACAATATAATAATAACAATAGCGTGCATCCATAGAATGCTCTAAGGTTTGCAAATTGACATACATATAATAACAATCCTAGGAGGGAGGTGCTATTATTATCCCCATTTTGCAGATTAGGAAACTGAAGCAAGCAGAAGTTAAATGACTTGCCCAAGGCCATACAGCTAGTAAGGGTCTCAAGAAGAATTTGAACTTAGGTCTTTTGATTCCAAGTCTCACAATCTATCCACTGCTTTACCTAGCTACCTTTAATATACCAGATAGGCAATCCTCTTTTGCCTGAAGACCTCCAGGAAGGGGGTAATCCACCATTTTGGAGGCTACCCATCCATCCCACTTTGGGGTAGCTGTAATTGTTGGAAAGGTTTCCTTTAAAGGATCAAGTCTCTCCTAAACTTCTTCCCACTATTCCTTGTTCCGTCCTTGGGGGCAAAGCAGAACCAAGCTCATCTCTCCTTCCCCTGACAGTCCTTCACATACAGCTATCTAGGTTCCCCCAGGTCCTGGCTCTTCAGCAAGCTAGGAGCCTTCCTTCTTCTGGGCTTTTCCACATTCCCCTGGTATTAGCATCACACTGGGGCTGTCCATCTGTGATTCCTTACTTTCTACATAAGCAGCCCATAGTACAGATTTTGTTCTCAAATCCTAGGAGATATATTTCCTTCATGGGTTTCAAATTTAATTAGGCACAGGAGATTTGTGTGGTTTAATTTTTCTAAATTCAAATTTAATTTAAAAAAAGAATTGCCAGTTGCTCATTTTTATCCAAGTTTGCCATAAAAAGGGATGCAGAATACAAAGTTTTCTCTGAACACAACTAAAATTGCTTAGGGCTGCTCTCCTCCAGTGGGGCCCTCTGAGTTCTGCTCAGATTTCTAAGGTCTTGGACTCTGGGGCCAAAGAGCGGACACAAGGAGGATATTAGTGGGAGTGTTGCTGTCAGGGAGGCCGAAAGCAGCCCCCTTGGCATTAGACTAAAGGGGAAATCTCCCCTCTCCCTGAGCTCTTCTGCTTTGGATGGCCCAGGAATGTGAGGGGGAGAGTAAGGAAAGGAGAAAGAATATGTTATCCTATCAATTGCCATATGCATATACACCAAAGCAAGATGGAAGAATTATCTTATCTATCTTTATGTGATATTATTGTTGAGTGAGTGAGTGAATGAATGAATGGGGGAAAAAAGCATTTATTAAACACCTACTATATGCCAGGCACTATACCATGCATTGGTGAAATTCCTACAAATGTGAGATAATCCCATCCCTCAGGAAACTCACATTCTAATGGGGACGGGGGATAGAGCACAAATAGGGGAATGATCACTAAGGGAGGGAGGTTTGAATGAGAAAGTTGTAGCAATGGTGAATCGGGCCAGAAGGACATGGACTGACCCACTCCTTCCCATAGCAATTGCAGTATGGATTTGATTACTGTTCCCTGAACAACAAGAAGACAGATGTAGAAACTGGGGGTGGTAGCACAGAACGTGGGGCATCACGAGGTAGCTGGCAAGATGCCCACCAGATGGGAAGAATGACATCTCTGTCCATGAGGACACCACAAGAGACCCTCCTCATCCTCAGTGATTCTTACAGCCTGGAGTAGTGGACAGAAGAGCTCCGGACATTGATTCCCCAGCATTCTAATCCTGCCTCAGAAACCTACCAATTGCATGATGCTGGACAAATCAGTTAGCCTTTCTGGGCCCCAGCTTCCTCTTCTGAACACCAGGGGAATGGAGCAGTCAGAGCCAGCCTCTGAGATCCTTTCTGGCTTTGGAGCTGAGACACCAGGACTACTCTCTTCTCTGTCTTTGTTAGAGGAGCACGTTGGCAAACTAACAACAAGAATCCCCCCGTCCTCTCCCACACACACCTCACAACAAAGCCACGGCAAAACTCGTTACCAAAAGGAAATCCGAAAGAGCCCGTCCCAACGTTCTGCTCTTCTCTGTCAGCAAGGCCTTTGAAAGGTCACTAACTGGAGGCAAGGAAGGCCTGAGAACCATTGTTGATATAGCTGGGCTTCATCTGAGCTCCCACAACATCCGGAACTGGAGATGAAGATTTGTAGAACGGCTCCAAGAAACCCCAGCGAGGTTCCCATGCCCATTTGGGAGCTGGAGGGATAGCCCATATTTTGGTAGCTATGTGTCAGCATAATTGGTTTCTCTTGTGATCCTATGTATTTTATTTTGCATTTACGACCATTCTAAGGAGGTGTCCATAGGCTTCCTCAGACAGGCACATGGGCCACAAGACACAGCAAAGGTTAAGAAGACCTGCTCTAAGCCTCTTTCTTATTTTAAAAACATTATGCCAGTCTGGCCGGGCTAAAAGTTACCAGGGAAGTAAGCTCATTTAAAAACATAATTTTAAAAAGGAAAACAAAGTTAGTTCTTTTTGATGGACCCATACTAGCTGATAGTTATTATTCCTCTACGCCCCTGCCCAAATCCTCAGCAAAATCCACACATTTAATAATAAACTTTAATATTTTTACAGC